CGCCATCGTCGTATCGAAGGGATACGTCATCGTCCAGGCCGACGCAGACACAGCATTTGTTCAAGCAACCATGGAGAAAGGCATCCTCCTCTACGTGGACCAACCACCAGGGTACGACGACGGAACGGGCCGCAAGATGCTGCTGATCAAGGCACTGTACGGTCTAAAGCAAGCCGCCCTCGCCTGGTTCGACCACTGCAGGAGGATCATCACCACCGCGGGGTTCAGGCCGAGCCAATTCGACCCATGCCTATACATCAAAGGTTCAGGGGAGAGCATAGAACTGATATGCACCTGCGTGGATGATTTTCTCGTCAAGACGAAGTCCGTCGCGGCCGCCGACGCAATCCTCGACCGTCTCGAGGCTAAGATGAAACTGAAGCGTCAGGGAAGGGCTAACTACTTCCTCGGAATGAAGATCGTGCACAATGAGAAGAAGGCAACACTCACCATCACCCAAGAAGCCTACGCCAAGAAGGTACTTGAACGATTCGGCATGTCCGACTGCCACGGGTACGCGACCCCCGAAGTGGATGACCGCGAAGACCTGTGGCACGATGAGTCTCAACAGGTAGCAGACCAGACGACCTACCGCTCCATGGTTGGGTCCCTGATGTACCTCATGGTATGTACGCGGCCCGATATCGCACATGCCGTTCAACGACTATCTCGCCACCTACACGACCCAAGAGAACCACATCTTGTCGGCGCAAAACGCCTACTTCGATACGTCAAGGCCACGATCAACCACGGACTCACGTACCACGCAAGCGACTGCAAACTCGTCGGGTACAGCGACGCCAGCTGGGCCAATCGCGACGGACGGCGTTCGACAACTGGGTTCGTGTGTCTCGTCGGCGGTGGCGCCGTGTCATGGAAATCAGCGCGTCAACGCGTCGTGGCCCTGTCGACTTGCGAAGCGGAGTACATCGTATTGGTCGAGCTCGCCAAGGAAGTCGTATGGACGCGCGGAATCCTACAAGAAATGGGGATGGGCCAGAAAAATGCGACGACGACCTACTGTGACAACAAGTCGGCGATTTCAACAGCTGAAGGCATCGGGATGAGCGAGAGAAGCAAGCACATGGACGTGCGACTCCACTACGTCCGCCAGCTCGTCCAAGATCGCACCATCCGGGTGCTCCACGTTGGTACCGCAGACCAGCTCGCAGATGTGCTGACCAAGGTGTCCACCAAAGACGCGATCCAGAAATTCAAGAAAACAACAAAGACGACCGTCGAACTTGGGACACTTCAACCTGCGACAGGAATCACAACGGACCGATAGGTACCATGTACCTCGAACCTCTCTGCACCAACATAGGGGAGTGTTGAGAATGTTGGTACACGAGGAGTGCATGTTAGATCAGCGAGGACCATTCATATCGACACAGAGACCAGAGACGTTAACCACCAATGAATCACTCTTGAACCTACTCCTACTGGCTTTGCAGCCACGCGCTCGACTACCTCGCTCTAACAGCCCCCAGTGGCAATGGTACCAAGCACAGCCTGTACAATCGCATGAAGGCACGAAGATGTTGATCATGTCGTGGTCTTGATTTCCGTTGTGGTTGGCGACCGCGCAATGCACGGAAGTCCATCGCAAGGACAGGGAAGCGTCGAGTTCATACCATCATGCAAGCCTCCCTCCAAAATCACGGGAGCCATGGCGCAGCCACCACGGACTCATTCACCAACTACAACTGCACCCCGCCATGCCCGTCTGTGCGCAACTACTGCTTGGTCCATCACCCCGACAACCATCGTCGAACCAGTCCACGTTGGACACGGTGACCACATTCGCCTGCGCGTGATGACGGCTCCACGGTATATGCAGCGGAATACTGCCCACATCACATGGCAGTGACGCGCATCCGCGTCACTATTCCTGGCATCCATTTGCTTCGGGTGGTTTGCCTGCCTCTATTGGTTTCCAACGAGATGGCGGCGGCGCAACCCAATCATATCAAGTCCGCACAGATTTGGATCGTCTTTTGTTAATTTATTAACGTCTAGTGAACACACACCACCACGGAGGCCTACCCAAAGACGGCCTTCATCTTGCCTAGCGCAACCAGCACGATCCACAAAATGCCAACACCGATCGACAGGACCGCCGAGAACACGTTGATCCGGTACGCGACCACTGCCGACCGCTGCCTGCGCACCCACTGCAGTTAGTCCAGCCGACCCCACCGCATCCCCCGTGTGCAAACTCAAGCAGACAAAACCTCAAGTCCCGCCATCGTGAAGATTACGTACCCCAGTCGAGACGTGAGTTCACCGTACATGGCGGCGAAGAGCCCCATGATCACAATGGATGTGGCGCAAAACGTCCCGAGGTACACCATGGACCGCATCCAGTTGTGGTACCGCACGGCCGGCATGACGCCGAGAATGCCACCAGGTCCGGCAATTCCGTGAACGATGCCGACCAAGAGGGCAGTTGCCTACAACGCAATTGAGTGCCCACCCATTCTGCAGGATTCGAGCAATTTCTGCCAGGCTTCACGGCAATGTTGCTGCCACTTAAGAATGTAAACGCGCACATGCTCACAAATGCATTGGAACGCTCCACGTACCTTTTGCGTTGTCGGGTTCTCCATATCGACCTGGGGCACGCATCGCCGCCACCTGCCGCGAAGTTCCTTCTTCTGTGCACGAGACTGGCCAAGGGGCGCGTTGTCATCGTCGCTGCTGCCATCGTCGGTCTCCTCTACCATCGACGACGACAGCGTTGTTCCTGAAGACTCTAGTTCATCGACTGCAGTGTCTTTGTCGTTCTCGACCAGCTCCACGCTCGGACGCGACACATGTGCCGGGTCTTTCTCGTCCATAACAATGCGCTTCTTGTGCGTAGGTGTTTCGGATGGAGATGGAGACTGCTCAGGCGTTGGATCCGCATGCAATGTAGGAGCAGGGGACTCGTCGCTGATACTCCTTCTGCGCGAGGACCGCGCCGAGTCGTCACAAACACATGGGACTTCTTCGTATGGTTGCTCCTTGGGCTTGCTATGGGAATCGGACGATGGCCCGCTGCCGCCGTGCGAATGCCCAAGTTGGTGTGGGTCGCCGAGCTTCTTGTTCGCGTTGTAAACTCCATGCACACCGAGACCAATCATGAAAACACCAACGACGACTTCCGTGACAATGTCGAGCTTCTCCAAGTTGAGGCTATCGTCGAGAAGGATAAAGATGAACGCCATGATGATGAGCCCAATGCTATGGCCACATCCCCAGCGTACACCAAGGGCGAACGACCGCCACGACGAGCCAGCACTCAGGGTCGCCAGCGCACTCAAGTGATCGGGGCCAGACATGACGTGGAACACGCCAAACCCGAGCGCCGTTGCGACCAGCTTCCCCATTGAGCTGGTTTGATCGATGGCATGCATGGGTTGCATGACGGTGCCGCGAGTTGACACTTGTTCCGAACTAATGCACACTGTCACGGAACGAAAATTGGACAGAATTGGACTCCATTGAGGTAAAACGTCGAAAACTTTGGCAATTTTTTGTTCGTTTTATTGACAACCTCGCCTTTACAAGTGCCGTGGAATCAAATGAACTTATAGTTTATATGCAATTTAATTCAATAGGCAAGTCATGGAAAAGGTGGCCAATTAAAACACAGCGTGCGGCAACACGATGGTGGAATGGAGCGTGCCGCTCTTCCGCAGTCGTGCCCATGACCTAGACGAGGACAGTCTTGCCGGTCCCATCGATCACCCCCTTCTTGATGATGATATTGCCGTACAGACGAGATTCTCCCGTGGACACGATGGCGTACACTGTCTTGGATCTGTCGTAGAATCCAAATCGATCGACCCGTGCAATTGAAGCAGGTTTGGACGACCCGTCGACGGTCTGGTACGCGTGGTTCAGCATCGATTGAAACTCCTGGACAATCGGCGCGTCATCGCTCGAGTGCACTTGTTTCATGACTGTGGCCTGAAACTGGTCGAACGAGTCCAACGGGAAGAGCTTCAGCACAGCGTCGAGGACGCTTGTTGCCGTGGATCCAGGAAGGTACACCACAGAATTCACGCCCTGCGACGACACTGGAAAGTTGGCATC